CCAATCGAATTTTCTTCGGTTTAAAGGTGGGGGGAAATGAAAAAATAATGTGCTCGAAATTCCGTTCAAAGATGCCCCTCGAGGAGTTGAACTTGTGAGGGCGATGATTGAGGGTGCGGCGCCGCTACCGACTGAGCCACGCGAGCAAAGAGAAAACGCACGCCCGATTGCATACATAAAGGCGAGGACGACAACCGTACGCAGAGTGACATTAAGCGTTGTACACCGTGACGGTGGAATGCATACTCTAGCTACAAAAAAACTACGAAAAATCTCCTGTCCACCCACCTTTGAAGATTTTGGGATAAAAATCTGAGAAGTTTTGGAAAAATGAAAAATATATCAAAAAAAATTATAAATTCTTAAAAAAAGGGGTTAGGATATGCATTCTGTCGTAACGGTGTAGATTCACAGATGCCCTTCAATTAGAGAGACCCTCGAATTCCCGGGATATTTTCCACTGAAACGTACGGAATTTCTCTGATTTCAAAACACATTTGGAAGGAGGTCCTTTCTCACAGGGGCCCTCCTATTACAGGGGGCCTTTTATTTTCAAGCCCCCTTCGGAGAGCCCTTCTATTGATGGGGCCCTTCTAATACAGGTTTTATGGTAATTCATTTCCGTCCCTTGGAAACGTGGTAAAACTTTGTCAGCTGGAAAAATTTCACTATTATATGGCAACCCTTTTACCTTTCAAATGAACCGTTCTTCGAGTTTCCCTGACAATCTCCCATGAATCTGAGCATCTTCATCTTCCAGATTCAAATCATCTTTTTTCACTCTTTCCCATCTATTGGTCCATGTTTTGTTTCTTCTTCAGTTTCTTTTTTTCTTTTCTTTTTTTTCTTTTCGACACACCACCACACGAACCAAATACAATTAGGAAAGCACCCCTGGTTCCAGTTTTGTTCAACTGTTCCACTATCTTCTCCCGTTTCTTTTTTCTTCGTCGTCCTGCTCATTTTTACTTGGCTTTGAAGGTTCAGAGTTTTTCGCCCTTTGCCTTTTTCCTAGTAGAACTCATTTTCCTCATATTTCGTGTTTTCAAGGGGGGCTCTTGAATATCTCTCTATCTCCTCCTCTTTTCAGGAGCATATTTCTGATCATCATTTCATTTTTTCATTGCTTTGAAAACTTTTTAATGGTCAAAAAGGGTTCGTAGTCGTGTATTTTGATAAATGATACTAGAATGTTGCTGAAATTCCACATCTATAGTACCGGCCAATAAGATATACGAAAGCCTATTTTTCAAAGTATTTTCAGTAATTTTGACCGTCTTCAGGAGTCTAGAGCTCGACTATCAAGTTCCCGATCACTTTGAAGTTTTTGGAGGTTGTAAAATAGGACTAGATCAAAAAATTTCGCATTAACAGAATCTTTTGAAATTTCCTATTTGTCAGTTTTTCCGATTTCTCCAGGACAACACTCTTGGACCGTTTTTGTAAAAAACAGGTGTCTTCCAAATAGTTCGAAAACTAGGAAGTTCCAAAAAAAAATTTGTGAGTTCGAAGTTTTCAACCTATGTCTATTTTACACTCACCAACATTTTCAAAGTGATCGGAAACTTGAGCTCCACGCTTCTGAAAACAGTCAGAATGACAGAAATTACCTGAAAAATGTGTTTCGGGATTTCTTATTGACCGGTAGTGTAGAAAAAGGTCAGTATCTAAATTTATTCGGAACACAAAACTCATTTTTCATATTTTGAAACTAATTGAGCATGCCTCTCTTCTTGCTTGGCTCAGTCGATATCAAACTCAAGAAAAACCTTGATCTTCTAAAGTCTACCGAAAACTCCGAACTAAAACAAAAAAGTGCAGAGGAAGTCGTGTGTCGTCACATGCGAACATATGCAGGACTATGTGTCTGGCCCCCAACTTCTAACAACAATTGCTTCCTTTCCTCTCCCCGCTACCAAAGTGTATAATCCAAGGGAGCGTCGATTGACGCGCCTAAGAGTGTCGTCCAGATGTTTCTGCACCAATGCATAAACTGACGCAACTGGCAAAAAGTCGAAAGGACCCCACATTGTTTTCATCAAAAATCCAAATCGTCTCCTTCTTCTTCTTGTTCTTCTCATTCGCTCCCCGATTCCTTTATCCGAATTGAATCAAAACTTAGACGAAGACGAATTGAGGAGCTGGTCGAGTGGACCCGCTCATTGTGGGTCGCGAACAGAACACATTGTTTTCATTTGTTTCCCCCCGTCTTCCGAAGAAAAATTCTCTCCATTCTAGTAGAGTCCCTTCCACCAATTTCATCTGGGGGGACCTTTTTCTCGTATTTTGTTTTTGTCCGTGTTCCGTTCTTTCTCTCTTTCCGAGTTTCGATGAGAGATTGGAAAAAACTAGGAATTTGGGAATGTATTTGGGAGCGGATATGCAACTAAGAAAAACAGAATCAATCTAGTCTGGGCATGTCTGTGTATATTTTTTTTAACCCCAAAATTTTACCTGCAATTTCTAGATTCCGATTGTCTAGTACCTAGAACCTGTAATAGATGAGCCCTCCTAATTTTTTAACTTTGAATCATCTCTGTTCCTGTCAAAGATATAAAACGTTGTCAACGGATAAATTGTTTATCATAATCTCACAAACATTTTATCAGTTGACACATCTTTCATATCTCTATATCTCTCATACGGATCGAGATGATTTAGGTCATACTTGACGGTGTGGGGGCCCTTCTATTACAGGTTTTACGGAAATCTTGGCTGGCAGGAACCTTATCGTTTGGAAGGTTAGCTAATTTTTTAAAATCAATCCAAGAACCACTAAGTCTTCTGGCGTACATCCTTCTAGAATATGATGAGTGCAATGAATTTTGATCACAGATAGAGGAGGTCCTTAACAAAAAGTCGTGTTTCTCCTCTACGAGAGGCTCCTTTTCCATCTCCTTCTTCTTCTTATTCTCGTCTTCCTCAACTTGTCCATATTTGCCATAAATTTTTGATGTCCCTCTCACTCCATCTCCCTCTCTCCTCCTACTCGTTTTCCTATCTGCTAGGCCTGTCCAAGCCCAGGACTTTTTTTCGGTGGTTCTTCATTCCACACTTTTTTCTATTTCTATGTCATTTTTAATATCCAGAAAAAATATATTTCTAATTCATGAAGTTTCGGAGACAATTGCACTTTTCAGAAAGTGTGTTTTATTGGTTCTATCTCGGGTGATTTGGTATTCCGGATCGGATTAGGAGTTTCTAGGGATGTCATTATTCTCAGAATTCGTTGACCAATTTCACAGAGCAATAATTTCAAAAGTTCGCTTGCTCTGACGTAACAGCTGTAGATCTGGAAGAGATATACCGTAAAAGCTATAATGCGTCGGCCTCCACGCTGTAAAGTTTGAGCTCAATTATCTCAATTCGTAGGGCAAATCGCGCCGAAGGCCCATCAGCCATCTGTTTGAAGCGCCAGAGGCGCGGAAACAGGCTGGGAGAATATGAAGTTTTGTTTAATGAAAGTTAAAACTTTTTTTAGTAACTTTATTCTCCTCGTGCATGCTCTTTTTACAACTCTCGATGACTAAAAAAAGTAGTGTTGTTTGTTGATATTATCATCGAATTTTTAATCCCTACTTGTCGTTTCCTGCAAGTTTTCAAATCACTACTGCTTCGTTTTCTTCTCTTTTTGGCTTGTTTTTCTGACGTCGTCAAGAAACGAGGGACGCCTCCTGGACACAGATTAAGTGATGATGGTGGTGGTGACAAGCTTATTGATCCCTTTTTCCTAAATTTCTTATTTTCTTTCTCGCCTAAAAAAACTTCCGATCCCTCTCTTTTTCATTGACGATTAAGTTTGTGTTCCTATCCCTTCACATGAATTTTTCAACACTTCGGCAAGCTCCAGCCTTTTATGGCACAAAATGGAAATTTCAGGGATGTGTTAGATAGAGTAAAGGTCACCGTTTTTGTTGTTGCCTAGGACACCTCTCTTCCGATGAAGTTTTTTGAATTATTCATTGATTCAAAGCATTTGTCTTTATTCTCCAGATATAGTTGTGTACATGTGATTTCGCTGAAAAGTGGAATCTAGTTCTGAAATTTCAGACTAAATTTAATATTCGAGATTGACAGATTCCACCACAGAAGTTAAAAATATTTCAAAAAAGATAACCTTCTGAACTACCTTGCTCAAAATATTTTCCAAAACTTCCTTTCCCCTCATCTTCCTTATTCCGCGAGATCTCACATTTCCAAAACCAACATTTTCAACCGGTCGCCTAGCAGCCTTTGGAATATTAGATCATGTACCGAAACATAGTCTTGAAAAAAGTGGGGGACCCGAAGAGGGGGTGTTGCGTGCTTGGAGACCGACCTGACAACGGAGACGGCGAAGAAGAAGATGACTCTGAATATTAAGATAGAAGACGTCGTCGGAAGAAGCAGAAGCGATTAGTCAGACACGGACATTCTTCTCCGCTTTTAAAGTCTGGAGAGAGGAAAAGGCGAATTTCAAGCGAGCCCCCGAATTTCTGTTTCATCTCTCCCTCTTCTTATCACGCGATGATATTAGGTCCTTTTACATTTCCTTATCTCTCAATTAATTCTGAATACTTGCAGAATATGATGTCTTCTTTAAAAGTTATCTTGTTTTTTTTGTTATCGTAAAACCTGTAATAGAAAGACCCTCAAATTTGATCTGATATTTCTTGGCTTCTATGAAAGATACCAAAAATGTGTCAACTGATAAACTTTGTTTTGACATTGTGATGAACAATTTATCAGTTGACAACTTTCTTATATCTTTGACAGGAATCTAGATAAACTGGCTCAAAGTTAGGGGGCCCTTCTTTTACAGGTTTTACGGTAAGCCCTTTAAAATGTGCAATTATTCTCCTCAAATCAATTCTTCCAGATAATCTTCTCTGTCTCCCATATGAAATGTCATAGTTGGTTGAAGGGCAAGAGAACTACTGTGTAGGATCTTCCCTCTATTTTCCATTATTGTAGCTGCCAAGATTTTTTTTCTCACAACATCCACCTGAATTTTCTGAAAGATGCCGGTTGGAAAGCGTGGTCTTGTAGCACCACAAAATACTTTTCTGGAGAACGTTATCAGGAGGTGTAATAATGCAGGTGAGGCTGATTTCCAGAATTTTGATGTCAATAAAAATGTTTATTTTCAGATACATCTTTTATATTGGCAAATGCACAAGTTTTAGATTATCCCATCGTATATTGCAATGACGGGTTTTCGAAACTTGTTGGTTATACACGAGCAGAGATCATGCAGAAACCGTGCTCGTAAGTTGAATCCGAAAACATTCATTGAATCTTCTTGAACTTTTTTTCAGCCTTGCGTTCATGCATGGTGAGCATGGCGAAGTGGGAAGTCTACAGAAAATGCAAGAAGCACTGGAGAACGCAAGAACAGAGCAAGCAGAAATTGGATTGTGTAAAAAGAATAGTAAAGAAATTTCACTGAAACAAGCACCAACAAATTGTTCATTTTCCAGAGACCCCCATCTGGCTGTTAGTTCATTTAGCCCCGATTAAGAACCATAAAGATGCGGTGGTGTTGTATTTGTGTCAGTTTAAAGATATCACACCGTTGAAGCAGCCGCTGGATGACGAAAATAACAAAGGTAATTTTAAAATCTCAGCACCGGTCAGTAAGATATACAAAGATGTATTTTTTGGTTGATATTCAGACATTTTCAGGAATCTGGATCTCATATGTCAAGTTTTTGGTCACATTGAAAACTCTGATGACCTGGATCAAAATAATAGACCTACATCGAAAAATAACAGATCTAGATCGAAAAATTTGAATTCATAGAGTTTTGTGAAAGTTCCTAGTTTTTCAAATCAACCGGTTGTCGGTCATTTTGACTATTTTCAGGAGTCTGGAGAACGGTTTTTTTTCAGTACACAACGGGCCAAAGGAGTGTCTTTCAGAAATTGGCAAATAGCTGAAAAAACTAGAAATTTTCAAATAATTCTGTGAATGCAAAGTTTTCAATCTAGGTCTCTTTTATACCCTCCAAAACTTTCAAAGTAACTTGAAACTCGACAGCCGACCTCCACACTCCTGAAAATAATCAACAGAAATGTTTTTTGTAATCTTTTTGACCAGTACTGTAAGTAAGATTCTATTAACAATATTGCAGGACTCTCCCGGATACTGCAAATCGCAAGGATCGCCAAGTCAAAGCAGCAATTCAATCAAATCGAAACCAAGGATCTACACAAATCGCCGGGAAACACATCCAGTAACTTCAATCAGGTTATCAAGGTTGAGAGTCTTGACGCTTCTTTCTGTTGGTGTCGCGTTCTGGACGGCACACTAATACTTGGTCAGGCATCAAATCATTTTCCGATATCCTTTTGAATTCCTGATCAGAAATTCAAGGCTATCGGACTTTGAGAAATCTGTAGCCCCTCTTAAACCTTTTTTGAACACCTGAACCAAAGTGTCTCCGAAATGTGGCGCGTCCCTGTTCCCTCCGTTTGCTGGTAGTGGTATAGCCTGTAGTTTTCTTTGTTTTTCGCCCTATATATCTAGAAATCTATTAATTTTCATTTCGCCCTATCTCTCGATAAGTGAGTTTTTGTCTTTTCTAACAGAGTTGGGAGATAAGTTTTTCAAAATCTGAAAATTTAAAAAATGGTTTCTTATCTCTCAACACTGATTTCTAGTGACGTTTTTTTGCCTGCTCGCTTCTGTGTGCTAGATATTTTTATAGAAAGATTTTAAGTTCCTTCAAATTTCCCTGAATGATGTGGCATCGTTTTTTGCTTCCAAAGCACCCGCCTTGCTTTTGCATCCTTTGTTAGTTTCTCTGTTAGCTTTTTACCCCTTTATATTTTTAGTTTTATCATTTTCTCCTCATTTTCTTCAATATGAGGTGCACGTCTTCTTGACGCAAGCCTGAAAATGCGAAGATTCCGTTTCCGGGAAAAGACGGAAGTGAGGAAGAAGTGATGCTTATGTTGTCCTCTAGCTATTTTTTATTTTAGCTTCTAACTCTGGTTAGTTTTAGACAACTATGTATCTCTGTTTAACATCTAACTCTGATAGTACAGTAAACTTAACAGATAGAAAATTTTTGTTGGATTTCAGAGAACTTGTAATAGAAGGGCCCCAAGGTTAGGGGATCCTTCTATTGCAGTTCTTACGGTAACCACAGCTCTTCTTCTATATGAAAGGCTTTATTTAATTTCTGGAATCACATGTTAATTTTCCTTGGGGTTCTATCTAATTTTCTATTGCTTTCGCCTGTTTGACGAGATGTTTTTTAGTGCAGTGGCAGTTGGAACGAGCATCGCTTTGTGAGTTACGCTACCAATGCAAAAACAAGAGTATTATTAACTACTGTGTTACGAAACAAAACAACTAATTCATGAGTTCTATTATTTCAACTTGCATGGTACCTTTTGATTCAACTGATTTCTTAACTTTGAGTTCCGCTCATTTGTTTTTCATTTTTTTAAAACTTCAAAAAACTTCTGATTATAAATGACTGACTTACTACCGTACCCCCAGCTTCCCACTTCTCCTTGCATGCAATTCACCACCATAACAGAAAGAAGCACATGTGTCCCCACCCTGTCTCCCCGATTAATCAGATTCTAGGAAAATCTTTTTTCATCATTTTGCAAATTTTTTAGAATGAATTTTTAATCTTTAAATTTCAACAAGAAGCTATAAGCAGATAATATTAGACATAAATTTCACAAACCAGGTTTCAGAATAGATCTTTAGTTTCGTTTTCAATTCTTAGTTGATTTTGTTATAAATAAAATTTTGAGTTAGTCCCAATACATTTATTTATGGCCCGGTCCCTCCCCTCACTCTCCTCGTTTTTCTAATTTCCAATTATATTATTTACAGGTAATGAATCTGGGAGGAGACATGCTGCCCCAATATCGACAAGAGACACCGAAAACGTCTCCACACATCATTTTGCACTATTCATCATTCAAAACAATATGGGATTGGTCGATATTGGCGTTGACATTTTATACGGCGTTTATGGTTCCATTTAATATTGCTTTTAAGAATAGGTGAGTTGTTTTTTGATAATGAGAGTCTTATAATCAGCTAGTCATCAGTCGGGATAAGCAAAGCACATATTATCAGCGACTCAGTAAAACATGCAAGATTTAAATTGAGAAGGGTAGTATCAACTTGCATGAGATCTTAGTTTAAACACAATACATACAGTATCATTCGATAAGATAACGAAAATACTTTTCGGTTGATTTTCTGCCATTTTCAAGAGTCTTTAGCTCGGTTGTCAAGTTTCCGATCATTTTGGAAATGTTGGAGGGTGTAAAACAGACGTTGATTGAAACCTTTGTATTCACAAACCTTTTAGAAAGTTCCTAGTTTTTCAGCTTTTTGCCGATTTCTTAGAGACACCCCTCTTGGCCCGTTTTGTACGGAAAACATGAAAAAGCAAATGTCTTTCAGAAATCGGCAAATATTTGAAAAACAGGGATGTTTTGAAATTTTCGGAATTTCGAAAATTTCGGATTTTCCGAATCTCAGAATTTTCTAATATTTAAGAATTCGGAATTTCGGAATTTCAAAATATTCCGATTTTGAAATTTTCGGAATTTCAAATTTTTTGTAATTTTTCAAAAATTTAAAGTAGAAATTCCATTTTTTCATAAAAGTTTCGGAAATATTCCGGTCGGAATTTCATCCCGAAAAAATCTTACAAAAATATTCCGGTCGGAATATTTGAAATTTCGAATTCCGTCCTGAACATTTAGAAAAAATTCAGTAAATGCAAAGTTTTCAATCTACAGGGTGGGGCAAAAGTTTGGCAACAAAAAGAAGACGTCATATCTTCTCGGAAAATAGTCCAATCAGTTTCAAATTTTAACAGGACTTCATCAAAGAGATTTGTAACAAAATTAAGTCATAGCTGCCTGTTTTTGGCAGCTCTGTTTCTGATGGCGGGGCTCAACTTCTTTGGGTTGCGTTTGTGCTGGCACGGGGGTGGTCTGCCGGCAAAAGGTCCCATTCCGTCGAAGAATTATTTTTAAGAGTCTCCAAAATTGTGTTAAAACAAACTTGAACACATGCTTGAAAATTTCCTTGAAAACGACAATTTGCACGAAATCATATTGTTTCTGACTAGAGACAGGCCATCCTTTCTCGGGAATCAAATTGGAGAAATTGGCTTGGCACTCCTGCTGAACATGGTTTGTCGTCTGAGCAGGCGCTATATATTTTTGGAATGTCTAAATTTGCTATTCAAAGTTAGATTATGATACAGACAGCATGATTTTTACTCAAAGTAATTTTCTTGGTACACTTGCAGACCAGGCTCCACCAAAAACAGAGATTTTTCCCCAATTGGGGTGATTCCTCCAAAACTCATGGTTTGCTGAGGATCGGCTGCCTAGAGAATCAACAGACTATCACTATTAGATAGCCAAGAAAATTGTGTCTATACATAACAATTTTTAGAATTGAGTTTTGCCTCTAAGCTGAACAGTGTCTAATCAAACAAAGCGGTGGCCAAGCGCGTTCCAGAAGGTCAGGAAAAACATCAAAGGAAGCATACAGAAAGTGGTGCCGTTTTCGTAAAAATTGAGATAAGGACATGAAACTTTGCACATCTACCAATGAAGAGACGAGGAATATTATAAACATAAAAGCAAGACCTGAAAAGTGTGCCGGCGCGCAACAGCTTATGTCAAAAGTTTGTTGCCAAACTTTTGCCCCACCCTGTAGGTCTGTTTTACAACCTCCAAAAGTTTCAAAGTGGTTGAAAACTCGACAGTCGAGCTCCAGACTCCTGAAAGGGTCAAAATGACCAAGAATCAACAAGAAATGAATTTTTGTACATCTTATGGAACGGTACTGTATAATCACACACGATAGCCTCTCACTATTAAAAAAATAAGCATTAATCTAAAAAACAATGCAAAGTATGTGAAATGCGTTACTAATATAACTTTTTTAGCCTCCGCCCGTTCTACTTGATCAGGTATGTCTTTATTCGTTGCATGTTGATTGTACTTATTACTTTTTTATAAGCATGGTTGTTCTTAATTCTTTCTACTTCTCTTTATCATTTTTTAATTTTTTATTACAGGATTTCTAGTACTCGAGATAATCCCGGTGGCGGAATCGACTCTGTGGCGTTGATGATTCTATAGTTGACGTCATATTTTTTGCTGATATTCTTCTCAATTTTCATACCACTTTTGTAGGACCTGGCGGCGAGGTAATGCAATTTTGGAACGAAATTTCAACTGAACAAAAAAATTGCAGGTAGTAATAGAACCGTCGGTAATTAGGCAAAACTATTTCAAGTCATGGTTTTTGATTGACTTACTTTCCTGTCTACCATATGATATTTTCTACATGTTTAAACGAGATGACGAGGTAAGTGGTCCTCATTTCAGTATACAGAAAAAAACTCATGTTTTCAGAGGATAGGAAGCCTATTCTCTGCACTCAAAGTGGTGCGGCTTCTCCGATTAGGAAGGGTTGCTCGAAAACTAGACAACTATTTGGAGTACGGTGCAGCCACTTTACTACTACTACTATGTGCGTATGTGATAGTTGCTCATTGGTTAGCTTGCGTGTGGTTTTGGATAGGAGATACAGAAGTTCGACTAAAAATGGATAATCTAACACTGCCGGATGGGTGGTTATGGAAATTATCGAATGACTTGAGGCAGCCGTATAATGTGACGGCTTCTAATAAATCAACTTTAATAGGAGGGCCATCCAGAACATCAGCATATATTTCATGTAAGTTTTTTTCATTCTTCTACAGTACCAATAAGATTGTATTCAGCTGATTTTCAATTATTTAGACCATTTTCAGGAGTCTGGAGCTCGGCTGTCAAGTTTCCAACCACTCAAATAATTCTGGAGGGCGTAAAACAGACCTAGACTAAAAACTTTGCATTCACAGAACTTTTGAAAAAAACCTAGTTTTTCAGCTATTTACCAATTTCTGAAGGACGCCTGTTTTTCACGTTTTCAGTACAAAAACAGACCAAAAAGGGGTGTTCTTTAGAAATCGGCAAATAACAGAAAAACTAGGAATTTTCAAAAAATTCTGTTAATGCAAAATTTTCAATCTAGGTCTGTTTCGCTCCCTCCAAAACTTTCAAAGCGATCGGAAACTAGACAGACAAGTTCCAGACTCCTGAAAATGGTCAAAATCAACTGAAAAATACGGTTTTGTGTATCTTATTGAACAATACTGTATGTGTTTGAATGAAATTCATTTTCAGCTCTTTACTACACGATGAGTTGTATGTCAACAGTTGGTTTTGGAAACATCGCCAGTAACACCGACAACGAGAAAATCTTTGGAGTCTGTATGATGATCATCTCAGCTTTACTCTATGCCGCCATTTTTGGTCACATGACAACAATTATTCAGCAAATGACATCCAGTACTGTGAGGTAATAAGAGTTTCGTTTAGATGAACAGTAGGACGTCAGTTTTCAGGTATCACGAAATGATCAGCAACGTCCGAGAGTTCATCAAACTGCAAGAAATTCCTAAGGAACTAGCCGAACGAGTAATGGATTACGTAGTATCTACGTGGGCAATGACGAAAGGAATCGATACAGCGAAGGTTCTTGGCTACTGTCCAAAAGATATGAAAGCCGATATATGCGTACATCTGAATCGAAAAGTGTTCAACGAGCACAGTTGTTTTCGTTTGGCTTCGGATGGATGCTTGAGATCACTGGCGATGTTTCTAGAATTGAATCATGCGGCGCCTGGAGATTTGCTATATCACACTGGCGAATCTGTGGATGCTCTTTGGTTTGTGGTTTCTGGATCTTTGGAAGTTATACAAGACGATGAAGTCGTGGCAATACTTGGAAAAGGAGATGTGTTTGGAGATGAGTTTTGGAAAGCAAATGGGTCAACTGGCCAGTCAGCAGCTAATGTTCGGGCTCTAACCTACTCGGATCTCCATATGATCAAAAAGGAAAAGTTAATGGATGTACTCGATTTCTACAAGGCCTTCGCTAACTCGTTTGCACGAAATATGACATTGACTTATAATTTGACACACAGAATGAAATTCAGAAAGGTAATTGATTTGATGGTACTGTATAATATGGGAATTTTAATATTCAGGTGGCCGATGTAAAACGAGAAAAAGAGTTGGACGCTAAACGGAAGAACGAGAAACTCACATTACCCAGTGATCATCCAATACGAAAGCTTTTATTCCGAATGAGAGAAAGGCATGGTCCACGGATATTCCCTAGTCCCATGTTTGCGGATATTGAGAAAGGACTGAAAAAGTCGACAGAAATATCCAGGATATCCTCATTACATTCAATGGTTGATGAAACGGGAGGATCATCATATATCAGATCACCCAGGAGCAAACAAAAAAGGCCGCCTTTGCTGGTATGTTTTTCAATATTTTTTATTCTGATAAACGCTTAAAGATACAGAGCTCTGATACTGATATTGTGAGTTTGATAGTTGTAGATTACGACTTTCTGAAATTTCAAAAAATTATTTTCATTTTTATACATGACTTTTAGATCTATATGTTCTCATCACAGATTCTTCCGTTTCCACACTTACCGTAAACTTTCTAATACAAAGCCATCGAAACCGTCAACGTTGAGCCGGCCATAAATATATGAAAAATGCGTTTCTCAGTTGATTTTGACCATTTTCAGGAGTCTGTAGCTCGACTGTCAAGTTCCCGATCACTTTTTAAACTTTGAAGGGTGTAAAAAAGGCTGAGATTCAAAACGTTGCGTTCACCAAATTGTTCGAAAGTTTCCACTTTCTTCGCCATGTGCCAATTTCTGAAAGACAACCTTTTTTAACTGTTTTTGTACTGAAAACTTGAAAAAACCAGGTGTCTTTCAGAAATCGACAAATACCGTAAAACCTCTAATAGAACGACACCCGGATCGTCCACTTTGAGCCTATATATCTCATTTTCTGCAAAAGATATCAAAAAGTGGTTAACTAGTAAAATGTTGCTGATATCCTGATAAACATTTTACTAGTTAACCACTTTTTGATACCTTTCAAAAGAAGTGAGATATATAGGCTCAAAGTGGACGTTCCGGGTGTCGTTCTATTAGAGGTTTTACGGTATCTGAAAAACAAGAATTTTTCAAAAAGTTCTGTTAATGCAAAGTTTTTAATCTAGGTCAGTTTTACACCCTCCAAAATTTTCAAAGTGATTCAACACTTGACAACCGAGCTCCAGACTCCTGAAAATGGTCAACATCGACTGAAAAATGAATTTTTCATATATTTATGGCCGGCATTGTATCTCGTTTCCTGTAAAAGATATCACAAAGCAGTTAACCAGCAAAACTTTTATCATAATATCAAAAATATTTTGACATTTGACAATTTTTTCTTATCTTTTCTATGAACGGAGATATATGGGCTCAAAGTTAAGGTGACCTTCTATTAGAGTGTTTACGTTATGCCTATCGCCTATAATCCAATTAAAATTTCTAGAAACGCCAAACGGTTGACGAGGACGCTCTATCCAGAACCAGTTGGGGTCTTGACAAGAAAGATCGTGAATGGAGCTCTCTGTCGAACATTAAAACAGAAATGAAGAGCAAATTCGATATGATCGGGGAGCGACTGAGCATTGTTGAGCAAATCAATAACCGATTGGCAATGTTAGAAAGGGCGATTATTGGAAATAATGGAGGAGCCAATACTCCGTCAACGATGCCAGTTGGCTCTTTTTCAGCTTTGAATGAGTCTGGAAATCGGTTGACTCTCGATGCGCCTCCTGTTGCCAGAAGTGTGTCCTGGAGTGAACAACATCAGTCACAGTGGCAAAGGTACGCAATCTGGTTTATTTTTAAAATGATTTATTATTGAAACGGCCAATTCTGGAAACCTCAAACTTTTAAATAGAGACGGACCTCAGAAGCCCACTCAATACTCTCACGCTGAGCTCATTTTTCTCGGTTACTGTAAGAGATATCAAAAAACTTATAGAATTAAGAAAATGTGCCTCGAAATCAGAAACATTTCAATAGGTGATATTTCTGATATCTCAAACAGGAAACGAGATAATTCGGGTCAAAGAGGCGATATTTTTAAGGAGCTTCACAGATTTCAAAAGTGAAATTTCAAGTGTTATTCGAACGTGATAGAAAAAAAAACTTCGGACAGCAGAAGAACAAAAAACCGTGGTTAAAATTTTAATTATAGACTTTTAAAGTAAAACTACGTGAATCGGTCCTGTAACCCATTGACCTCAGGAAGAGTACTATAAAAGAAGAGGAGAGTGAAGGGAAGAATCAGTTCTCTCTTTCTCGGGGCTCCAGAAAGGTGACTCGGGGAAGAGATCCGATCAGGACCCTTGGGGTCAGGATCCCTTGGGGTCAGGACCTTTGAGTCAGGAGCCCTTTGGGGTCAGGACCCCACTGGGTCAGGACCATGGGGTTTGGACCCCAATGGGTCAGGACCCCATTGGGTCAGGACCCCAATGGGTCAGGACCCCAATGGGTCAGGACCCTTGGGGTCAGGACTCCTGGGGCCCGGAGCCTTGTGGCCCGGAGACCTGGGGTCAGGGGCCCTGGGGTCCTGGGTCCTGGGTCTTTCTCGACCCGTTTTTTTGTGCTTTGTTGTATATCTTATTGACAGGTGCTATATGATTGTCTATTGCATCCAAAATCTAAAAAAGCTTTTTGAACGAGTACTGTAGATTCTGTTCGTCTGAAAAAATTTGAGATTTTACAGAACAGTACCACCTCTGCGAGAACTAGAAGCCGGCGAATGGGAGCCACCATTCACCCCCAACCCCACGACATCGTCTCCTCAACCAACTGTTCCTCATATTCAAATTGACGAAGGAGAATCAGCAAGACCGCCAACAAGAACAAGGATATGAAATCCATCTTTCCCATTCACTGTAACTAGACATCGATCCACTTGCCTTGTGATATGTAAAACTTATTGTGTGTATTTGCAAATTTTTTCGGGTATTTTTTCCAAATTTCTCTTTAGCTCGCAAATAGGGTATTTGAAGTTTTTTCAAAATTCAAACATCGTTCTGTTATTATTTCTGTCCGGCGCCGTTGAAACTTGCGGCCGAAAACTGCTTTAAAGGCGCATCGTCGTTTTACAAATAAACTCGTGCGCCTCTAATACAGTACTTCGAAATTATTTTATTTTGTTCCATTTTAAACAGTTTTTCTACCTTATGAGGAAATTAAGTTAAGTGTTCATGGGAATCGGAAAAAAAATCAACGAAAACAAGCTTAAAGTTTTGAGGAAAAAAATTCAGAAGTACTGTATTAAAAGCGGATCAATTTATTTGTAAAACCCGTAGCCAATTCAGGACAGGCTATGCGCCTTTGATTAAAATTTCGGTCGCACACCTCATCGCCGCCGGACAAGAATAATATCAGTAAATGTGCTCCAATTTGTTTTTGCAATGGAGCACATTTTCTGACACATGATCTTTTTTCCAATTCGAATAAGCCCTCCCATAGTCTTCCTTTTTCAGATCCCATGTCTTTCTGGTTTGAATCCCTTTGACCCATGCCACCTTTTACCCCCCCCCCCTATCTCGATACGTATCCTAAAAGTCAGAATTGTATTGTTTTTTTAAGTTTATGTTCTTCATATTTTTATATTTTGCAATCCGATCTCAATTTCAACAACATTGTGTGAAAGGTTTCTTATTCAGAATGAATGTTTCATACAATCGAAAGCGTAATCTTCACATATTTACTATACACGAGACAAAAAAATGATGGGGGTGAATGATAGGGTAAGAACTAGACAGAAACCTACACGAACGTTTTTAGGTAACACAAATAAATTTATAGCACAACAGCGAAAAAATATGGGAGAAGAGACCCGTTGGAAACGAAATGCGGCGAGAAAGAAATGGAAAAAAATGCTAGCAACAGTCAACAACTCTATTCGGTGTACTAGACGAAATCTTCTTATAAAACGTCTTTGGTTAACTTGAGTTTCGCTAAAATCGGAAGATGATCACTGGGCACGTGGCGATTCGGCCATGGCGTCGCTCCAATCAGAGTGTCGGCCGTCGGTAGACCGAATCTTTCGAGTACTTGCAGTTTTTGGATATCCTGGAAATTTTGCCATTTTCAGGTTGACCTATAAATATAGTTTACTTCTTTAGTGCGATCCTTTGTGTAGAAAATGAAATCCGGAGCCGCGGCATCTTTGTGATATGTGGAAATGCATCGAGTACGGAATGGAGTAACGGTGGCGAGGTCGTGGTGATAGACAGACTCTAACTTGAACGGGTGTCGCATGCATCCGTCGAGTAACGGTTCTGAAGCTAGTCAGGATTTGAATCATTTTCCTACCTAATAAGAGATCCTCCAAGACCGTAAAACTGTTAATTTCCAAAGGCTCAACAAGCATAAATATTCTGTGGTTCAATTTGGATTCTACGAAAAAAACTTACTTCCTGACTCAAATGACGAATTCGTGCCAACTGTTGTCTGGAAGAGGAGCTCGCGAAAATCACACTTTTTGCCGCCGGTCCTCACGGATTGACCACTCATTCTTCTCACAAATTGTCCTTCCACAAGAACACTGAAAGCAATATCGAAAATTAATTTTTGAGTTCATCTAACCAGAGATGTTCGGAACGGAACTCGGTGTTCCGACTTGAATATTTCCGAAGCTATTTTTATAGAACAAGAGATTTTTGGTCTACAGTATGACAAAGGCGTCAATTGATCATCAAGTTTTTGCGATGGAAAATTCGGAAATTTAAAAAAATTGGAATATTTTGAAATTATTGGGTTGGTTATTGGGTTGGAAATTATTGGGAAATTATTGGGTTGGAAATTATTGGGTTGCTAATAAGTTCTTGTGCACTGTTTGTTTTTCATCTTTTCTCTTAACTGAGCTAGAACAATAAAATGTATGTAACAGAATATGATATATAGGATGGTAAGGCTATTCACAATAACCATCATTCGCCCCGCTCTCATTTCGTTTGCGAACGCTATACCCACTTTTTTTCGGGTGAAATTCCTATTGGACGACGTATACTGGCTGTTTAACGAAGTCTACCCATTCGGTTCTTTTGTGGTAGCTAGTATATATGACACACATCTTAACCGAGGTGATAGTATAATTCAGGCGCTTGAAGTTCCCGTGTGTAGTAAGAAGTTGCATGCTCAGGTCCATTCGCCACTGAACATCGAAACCGGTCAAAGCGGTGAGGTATCCGTCGCAGAGATGTTCGGAAAGGGATTCGGAATTCCGAAAATTCCGACCGGAATAATTCCGAGAAAAAAATTCGGAATGAAATTCCGGTCGGAATATTTCCGAAAGATTTTTTCGGAATGAAATTCCGACCGGTATTTTTTCGAAGAATTTTTTCGGAATTAAACATTTTTCGACTACAGTATGCCTGGAAAATTTTATCGAACAGAATTAATTTTGACATTTTTTGCGCTGTCGAAATCTTTCTGTCCTTTTTCGAAAGATTATTGCGTTTTTGTGATGGGAAAGTGAAATTCCCGCTGTAAAATTCGAATTTTGAAAAATTCGGAAATTCCGAAAATTTTAAAATCGGAATATTCCGAAATTCCGAATTTTTCAAAATCGTGAAAAATTCCGAGATTCCGAAATTCCGAAAATTTTAAAATCGAAAGTTTGCGAAATTCCGAAAATCCGAAAAAGGCCATTCCGAACATCCCTGATCCGTCGTCCAAGTTTTTTGTTCTTTCCCAAATTTAACAATCCATTTTCAATAGTGATATGAGTTGTCCCTAAAGTGATTGACATTTCACAGGTAGATTGGAAAGAATCCCGTTCCACTAGATCTCTCAGCTTGCCTATATCTTGATGAAGTGCTCGCCCGGAACGAGTTTCATATTCCATTGAAAAGTCCTGGTTCTTGAACTTGCCAACCCAATTTGCAACTGTGATTTTATGGAGACATTGTCTTTTTAAACTTCCACCAGGCGGTGGTGAACATCGGATACTTTCAGGTTAGAAATAAATCTAAACAATACACAGAAATTTCACCCAAAAAAAGGGGTATGAAAAGGGGGATCGCGGTCGCAAGCGGAGTGAGAGCAGGGCGAATAATGGTTATTGTGGATAACCTTACAATCTTTTATACCATGTTCTGTTACACACATGTTATTGTTCTAGCTCACTTAAGAGGGGAGAAGAAAAACAAAAATGCACAAGGACTTATTAGCCAACCTAATAGGAAACTTCGAAAATCGGAATATTCCGATTTGAAAATTGGAATTTCGATATTCTGAAAATTCCTGAGAATTCCATTCCGGACATCCCTGTGAAATAAAACTCAAACTAAAAAAACTAACCATCCTTTGACCACAAAGTCATAGACCAAAGAGTGTGCCTCCATATTAAAATCTCCCATAATGATAACCGGCGGAATGGAGCAATTGAAATCTGACTGTTTTCCCAAATTATCCCTCATTTGTTGAATCGATGCAAACAGAATCGCCAACTGTGCCAACTTCACATCTCCACGCTCTTCATTGAATAGCAAATGGGTGTTGGCCACCAGAACAACTTCTTTTGTAACACGACAACGAAGAGCCAGAATTTGAGCAATGTTTTCTCGATTCGATATTGCGCTTTTCGATACAAAATAGTTCACTTCTTGATATTTAACGAATTCGAATTTTCCAGGACGGTAGAAAAGAGCACACCCGTCGTCCTTCACTTCAGTGCCGAATTTTTGTTTATAGATGCCTTCGTAGCCATCTGAAAGGTTTTTTTAATATTTACAAATTGGAAAAAAATAAGTCTTACGTTGCTTCATAAAAGGGGCAAAATGTAACAAGTAATGATCGGCTTGTACTTCCTGCAATCCCAGAATATCTGCATTGAACGTTGGAATCTCCTCCTGAAGGCCCTTCCAACGATTCGTCCACTCCAAAAACCCTTGACACTGATCCAAGTGTCGATAAAGGTACGCAGTTCTCGCGATCGTCTTCTGACAAAGGACATTGTATGAGCACACTGTGAACTCGGAGGACGGAGTCGGAGAGCTCGAAAGAATGGAATGTTTCAATTTGATTTTATTCCACTGACGGATTTGTCGATTGGAGAATATGCAATCTTTGGAGAAGCCGTCAGAAATATTTGAAGGAATCATTAGACGTGCAGGGGCGAAGGTGGTCGAGTTGATGGTAGGATTCGTGAGAAGAGAAGAAGACGGAGCTTTCGACCAGAATGTTTCAGCCTGTAATTGAATTTCATAGTCTATTAACCATTCTGGTTCGAAAAAAAATCGAAGCTGTAGAAGAGAAAGGTCGAAGGTCCCACAACGACTACTTCCGTAACCTAAAAAATTTTTTTTCGATATTTATTTTCTCGTTTATCACTACTTTTCTTTGAGTTTTCTGTTATTTTCCTTGAATAAATTGATTGAAAACGTACAAAAATCGAGAAAATGAATCATTAAAAAAAATATATTTTCAGGTTATGGTAGCTGTCGTTGTGGGACCCTCACAACTAGGTGGAACTTTCAAAGATTATCAATAACTTTGAATTGATAAAATAGAACCTTACCATTTTAGTCTCCAACTGTGTCATTGTTTCGTCGGGTTTGATGCTTTTCGGAAATTCTCCGATCAGTACGATACTGTCGTCCGAGTCCGACAATTCTGGAAGTCAAGATTCTCAAATTGAAAATTAAAGCTAGAAAGACCAGCGCAACCAGTGGCAGGATCAAAGAAACGCGCTCTATTGATATTTCAACAACTTTGCCGTGTGTAAGCAACAAGAGAGAGAGAGAGAAGAGAGAGAAGAGAGACAACGTGTGAGAAACTTCTTTGGATTCCATAGGGTGTGGTCGCTAGTTGGTTACAACATAAATACTTGTGAAGGGCAGAGGACATATATGAATTTTTGGCTTTTGTTTTAGAAAACATTGAAATTATCAAGTGCATTTCCATACGAGAATCAGCTAAACCTTTCATCAGAACGTAGTGTAGCTGAAACTTTTTTCTAAACAAAAATTAGTGATAAAGAACAACACCGTCCTCCTACTTATCACCACTTGTGTGAATTGAACGAGATTGATGAGATAGGCACACACAAAGAGAGAGTACGTAAACAAGAAAAAGAATGTGGAGCAAATAGTGGGTCTTAAAGAAGTTATTATGAAGATGACAGGAGAAAAGTTAAGAAAATCAAAAAAAGAGAACTATGTCACGTGGAACATATGGGTCGTGGAGGGAACAGGGTGGGTGGGAGGAAGAGGAACGTTCTAGATGATAAAGTTGGAACGACGTGATTTTTATGGTTTTTGGATTGGTATGGAAAGTGACAGCTTCATAAAATAAGGGATGTTCAGCATGGCCTTTTTGGAATTTTTCGTAATTTCAGAATATTCTGGTTTTAGGAATTTTAGAGTTTCAGAATATTCCGATTTTCAAAATTTCAGACTATTCCGATTTTCCAAATTTCGGAATTTTGAATATTCCGATTTTAGAAATTTCCGCTTTTCAGATTTTTTCGATTTTAGAAATTTCGGGATTTCAGAATTTGGCGATTTTCATTAATTTCAGAACTTTCCGATTTTTAAAGTTTGGGAATTTTGGAATATTTTGATTTTCCGTTTTTCAAAAATTTCAGTCTGAAATTTTCTGAGTTTCAAAATTTTCGGAATATTCCAATTCCCAAAAACTTCGATGATTTGGAATTTCCAGATTATGAGAATATCGGGAATTTCCGATTTTCAAAATTTTCGAAATTTCCGGAATATTCTGATTTTAGGAATTTAGAAATTTCAGGATTTTCTGATTTTCAAAATTTTTTGAATTTTGGAATATTCTGTTTTACAAAATTTTCGGAATATTTCCAATTTTCAAAATTCTCGGAATTTTAAAAATTTTGGATTTTCGGAATGCCTACCTCCTTCTTCTAAGTCAGATTTCTCAATTTGCCTGAAATCCTTCTTTCCGCCTTCTTCTTTCGGCTTCTCCACTACCTTTTGAGACGTCGTCGGCTCAGAATCACTGTCTTCTGAAACTGCAGGACTTCCAATTCTCTCTTGTAGAACGATGATATCTTCGTCGTCATCACATCCGACTTCAGTTGTCACTTCTGCTACATCGGCGCTTATATTTAGACTGAAAGTTTGATCCAACACATTTTCATCGCTTCTGAAACTATTTCTAATCGTTTTCAAAAACTTAAAAAACTTGGAACTTTTGCACCTTTCATCGGTCACTGTGATCGCCTGCACCTCCTTCTGACGTATGATACTCTTATTTTTGGCTACTAAACAATACAGAATAAGTTGTGTGTATCAACCATTATCTATTCTTACACCACGAAGCACAAATGTTGTATGTTCCTTGACTTCTAGAAGACTTCTCTGGAGCTGGTGTTGGAGGATTCTCGAATCTTACAGTTTGGATAAGCTTGGGAGGGGGAATCTGGGTTGGATACAGGCTTGTCTAGAAATATAGTATTTAGTATTTCGCCAGATCGTCTCCAAACTAACGCTTCCAACGGTTTCTTCCCTCTGAAAACGTTCCCAGTTGTATCCCGTATTTTCCTGCGCGTCTCTCCGGGCGGCATTTCCAGGTCCTCGTGGTAATCTTTGGAATCCACGGTTTGCCGGCGCTCCACGTATGTTCGCATACGGGTCGAATCGCCGAGTCCGCATTCGAGACAAACCTTTTTTTGGTTTCGGGGTGCGCTTCGCCAGCTGAAAATAAAGGTGAGCAATGTCTCCATTGGAGTGCTAGTTTTGCGTAGTTTTGCCCGGAACACTTGTTCTTTGACCTTTATTGCTTCCACACCGTCCCTTTTATGGTCAACAATTTGATTAAAAATCGATCATTGAACAGTTGTGTTGTTGTATATAAACAAAACACAATTTTTTGTTATTCTTTCTTTTTCTCTTTTTCTATTGCCAAATCATAGAACCGATCAATAAGATACAAATTTTTCAAGTGGTGTTCGGTCATTTTTACCGTTTTCAAGAGTCTGAAGCTCGGCTGACAAGTTTCCGATCATTTTGAAAACTTCGGACGGTGTAAATAGGATCTAGATTGAAAACTTTGCATTCACAGGATTTTTTGAAAATTCCTAGTTTTCCAGCTATTCTCCGCATTCAGAGAGACACCCTTTTTAGCCTGTTCTTGTACTGAAAACGTGGAAAAACGGGTCTTCTAGAAATCGCAAATTCCTGAAAAACTAGGAATTTTCAAAAAATTCTGTGAATGCAAAATTTTCAATCTAGGTCTGTTTCACATCCTCCAAAATTTTCAAAGTGATCGGAAACTTGACAGCCGAGCTATATACTTCTGAAAATGGTCGAAAATCAACATAAAATTACGTTATTCCATATCTTATTAAACGGTACTGTACCTAATCATCTAGTTTCAATAATTTTAGAATCATAAAATGTCAAAGAAATTCGTAAACAAACTTGAAGAAACTGTCGACGATGCACTGTTCGGTTTAGTCGCCTCTAATAAGGATATTCAATTTTGCAAGGTATATTTTGGCGAAAACTATTCAAAATGTTCCAAAAATTCTAGACATCCAAACGAGTCATTCATCGGAGCCAAATCAACACTGAGAATGTATCTTTGATAGCTGGAGGTGGCTCAGGACACGAACCATATGCCGCTGGATACGTTGGAAAAGGTCTTTTGACGGCTGCCGTAGCTGGCAACATTTTCGCATCACCACCATCGCGAAACGTTCAAACTTCACTGGAGGCTACGAAAGGGAAAGGTAGGGAATCTGTATGCCGACACATTTTATTTTCCTGTTTTCAGCTGGTGCTATTCTCTTCGTAATTAACTACACTGGAGATCGTCTCAACTTCGGACTCGCAGCAGAACGTTTCAATGCTTCTGGTGGGAATGCGAGAGTTGTAACCATTTCTGATGATGTGGCAATCGATAATCCGAATAACCGAGTTGGCCGAAGAGGACTAGCCGGTGCAGTGCTAACAATCAAAATTGCTGGAGCAATGTCAGAGGAAGGAAGATCTTTAGATGAAATTTATGATATGTCACAAAATGTCGTGAACTCTTTGGGAACCCTAGGTGTATCACTCTATCCGGGAAGTCAACCAGGGAAAGATCGGGAGACTGATCTATCGAATGATCAGATTGAAATCGGATTAGGGATTCATGGAGAACCAGGAAAATTGCGAGCATCGTACGAGTCTGCTCACAAGATCGTATCTGATGTAATGGCAACTCTAAAGGCTAAGATGGAAATGAAAGAGTCGGATGAGTTCGTGGTGCTAGTTAACAATTTGGGAAGTGTATCGCAGTTGGAAATGGGAATTGTGAATGGGGAAGTTTTGCGGTGGTTCGGTAAGAATATTGTTAAAATAGGCTAATTGGACAAAAAGTATTTTCAGAGATGGAGAAAATGAAGGTGACAAGATTTTATAGTGGAACCTATATGACTTCTTTGGATGGCCACGGTATCAGTGTCACTGTGTTGAGAGCCGACGAATCGATGATGAAATATCTTGATGCTCCAGCGAAAGCTCCTGGATGGGTTCCGTCACTTTCTCATCGAAACCAAGCAGAGCGTTAGTTAAATAAAGAACTTTTCCGATCTGAGGGAATGTTTTCAGAATCTCATTCCGATAAAAATGCACCAATCGAGGTGAAATCAACGGGAACATCGATCCATCCTGACCTAGTCCGGGAATGCCTTAATGGTGTCGTGAAGGCAATGATGGATTCAGAAGACCAACTAAACACCCTAGACGCTCAATCTGGAGACGGAGATTGCGGGAGCACGTTTGCCAGCGCCGCCAGAGCAATCCAAAAGGCAGAGGCACTCGATTACGAGCATCTAGAGACCCTTCTGAAGCAGCTCTCAGTGATCTTCGAGCAGACTGTCGGCGGAACCAGTGGCGCTCTTTACGCATTGATGTTCAGTGCGGCGGCGCCAGAGCTTCATGAGAAAATTGAATCCAATACTATTCTAGAGGCTCTAAAGAAGGCGAATCATGCGGTACAAAAATACGGTGGAGCACGCGTTGGAGATCGAACTATGGTTGATGCGTTGGATGCTATGGTCGAAGACTTGGGAAAGGGTTTAGCGGATAATGCTGGACTAGATGTTTTCGAAAGGGCAATTCAGGTAAGATACAGAAGAATAGGCAATTTCAAGATATATTCAATTACAGGCATCCGAAAATGCCGCAAAGGAAACCGCTCATCAAAAAGCATCAGTCGGACGTGCCAGCTACACTTCGTCTGAATCTCAAACAAAACCAGACGCCGGAGCGACAGCAATATCAATTTGGTTCCGAGCATTTTGGACGGCATTTAAAGAAGAAATGGGGAAAACGAATAAATAAATAGATAAGGATGAAAGAAACATCGATGCAAATTATCATATCTGAAGCTTATACATACAGAATCATTTATTTCCATAATGGATAGATATATAAAGGTGTATTACGAATTCGAATTTTCTGTGTAATAAAATAAGTGTGTAAAACCTGAAGGAATGAATGGGAAAAAAAAAATGAAAATGCACACAAAAATAAATATATAGGTTACATAAATATAATAACGAAATGATGGTCCCTGCAGATCTAGAAAAGTGAGTAAAAGACCCGTACAACTACTTCTGCGGGGGCCGCGACGGCGAGGTAAGATTCTTGTTGATAGCTCGGAAGAAGACTGGCTGAGGACGTGTACTATCACCATGAGCAAGAGGACTCTGAGGATGCGAGGATTCATGAATAGCGTTGACTCGTGGAGAGGGAGCTGGACGATTTGGAGAGTGTAGAAGGGTGGAGTCGGATGGACCATCTTGATAGTACTGGTCGGTGATGGTGACGTCAAGTTGGCGAAGACGTGTGGTAGACCCATTTGACGATCCCGATGCAGACGTCGTCGCAGCACGCTGAAAAATAATGTTTGATAATGAACTTCTGCCGACTAGCTAACCTGATAATCCTTAGCTCCCAAAGTCTGTCTCCTTTTCTCCGTTCTATCCAGAAGGCCATCATCGTCCGAGAATCGATAAGTTAGCTGTGAGACAGTTGATCCAACACGTGGTCTCATCGCCAGTTCATTTATCGAATCTATTGATAATCGACGCAATTCGGCTCGAGAATAGTCGGATGCCAGAGAGGGATTTGCAAGTAACAGCTTGTTTTGATATCGATTCACCCAGAGTTGGCCAAACTTTCCGAGGCGTTTAGAAGTTGCAAAGTTCTCGCGAATCACGTATAAACCAAAGGGAGTCACGACAGAAAACTCGTTGAAGTTCGTTTGCTGGAAATACGGATTTTGTGGAAAAATCTTGAAGTTTTTATGCTGGTGCAAAAAATCGGAGCTATAAAAGAGAAACGTTGGGGTGGGCGTGGTCGATGTTCTCACAGCGGTAATTACCGTAAACTCAACATTGCATTCATTCTCGAGTTATTCAATTCGGAAAATTAAAATATTTGTAGGTTACGGTAGTTGTCGCTGTGTGACCTTCGGTCACGGCCACCGGCATTTCTCTTCCACAGCTCAAAATTTTTCTGCATTAAAATAATAATTTCGCTCACTTTGATGGTATATATTGGGTTATTTATTAACAAGTTGATCGGTTTCCCACACTTTGGCACACTTTTCATCGATTTTCGAACAAACGTCGTCGGCGGAGGAAGCTCATACTGTAGCACTCGGCCCGAATACGTTCCAAACAACACTCTCGGCACGGCACCGTGATAAAAACGATAAATACATGCACAGGTGATCGAGTCGTAGTATTGTGCGCGTTCGAATTTGCATTCCTCCTCCCATGACAATTTGTCGTTGGCGAATTTCAGACGATAAATTTGCCCAGGGCCAACGAACGAGGAAACAAGAAGACGTTGTACATTGTTGGAAACTTCTGGAAGAAATTCCACAACGCTAATCGGACTGAAGAAGCGGAGGCGGATACTGTAAAAATTTAATTTTTGAAAGGCTAGTTATGGAAAACGCACCTATCCAAAATAACATTTCCTTCTATCATGCATACGGACGCAATGATTACTCCTGTATCAAGGCCCACTGCAGAATACCGATAAGTTTCACAAATTTTACAAGACGTTCTCAACGTGCCGCCAGGTAAATTGGTAAGCGCCAGCGATGGAAACCATTCAAAGACATCGTCGATTTTTTCAATGAACGTTGGCTCAACACGATATGCTGACACTTGAGCGTCCTTCGAGAAAACCAAGAGACAATGGTGATCGGCTGTGAAGCTCTTTCGGTCTGTCAATCGACAACAAGCAACCATCGATGGGGATGAGATGATTTTACAAAATACCACATTTCGCTTCTTGGTGATTCGGTAAATCGATCCGAAACACTTTGCAGGTACATTGTTAGTGTTTAACTCCGTCCAGAACACCGCCAAAATCGCCAAACAATCTCCAGAGCATTCCAGACTCAAATCACAGCATCCAAGTTCATAAAGACTCCCTCGATTCTCAGGTTCCATTGGTAGAAGTTTCACAAGATTCACCATCTTCCATTTACTCTTTCTGCACTGCTTATCCGTAGTCAATGCGATGTTTCCGTCGAAAGAAACCACAACAGTAATCTGATCGGATCGCAAATATTTCGCAGATTCCCACCAAGCATTGGGTAGAGTGTGAAGTCGAAGGCTTTTTTCAAACGAACTACTGGTTCCTCGTCGTTTCTGAAGAAACCAATTCGTGGCTTTTGCTTTTTTGGCATTTGAGAAGAGGTAGAAGGCATGATCGCGTTTGAACAGACGGAATGCACATCTCGACCGATTCTTCGCCAGTTTTCTCTCATTCATCCTTCGTCTTTTCGTCCGCTTTCGTCTCTTCGTTGGGCTCGGAGTCTTCAAGCTTCTGGTGTTCAAGGACATTTGCGAGTTCTTTCAGCTCTTGTAGTATTTCCTGCGATTCTTTTCGGTCTGCTTGACTCTCGTCGAGTTGATTGTAGAAGTCAAAAAGTTTTTGGGACAAGTCGTATTTCAGAATGTGAGCAAGCTCGTTCTTGTTTATCGCACACGTCTGTGGAGCAACCTTCTGACGGATGATACTTGGTTTGATTGGTTTGTCTTCAGGCAAAGAATCGTCGTCGAACGTCTCCCAACTTGTTGTCGGCTTTTCCGGTTCTGTCAGGAAGTTGAACAATTGATCGTTTTTCAACGATTTTATATCCTTCAAAATCGTCTTTGAATCGATTTGTTCCTTGTCTTTCACCGCTTTCAGACGCTTTTCTGAACTAGAAGAAACAATGAGTTGAACATTCGAAAAATACGTACCAAGGGCTGCCAAGTAGGTAGAATCTGGCTGCCGGGCGTTCGCTTGTGGCGCAAACAGATCCGACATGAAAACTCGAATTTTACAGGAGACGCCAAGTGATATTACTTTGCCTGAAAAAAAGAAAAAACATTTCAAAAACTGTTCAACAAGAAAGAGAAAGAACCATCTAGAAAACTGAGACTTTAAAGAAAAATTTAGATCGCTACTTCATTCTGTATTTCTTTTTTTCGAACAATAATCGACTAAAACATGTGACACAAAACATATTCACACCATTAAAAAATCGAAGGAAGCAAGCTGAGTTTGTCCGAGAGGAATACACGGTGTTTGGTGTTCTAGGCCGCGGTCATATGCAAAAGCGGCCTTTAAAGGCAGCTTTTTCGAATTGGAGTTTTTTCGATATGCGATTTCGATATAAAAGATTTATTTAAATACTCAAATATTGAAGCTTTTATTCAAACAAATATGAAAAATACATTCAACACCAGCGAAGTGTCTTTCAAGTGAAAATGTTACCAGCAGTGAAATGAAGATTTTAAAGCACAAAAAACCTAGTAAAAATCAATTAATAAACCAAGAAGTCATTAAATAGTAGCGAACTGAATTCCCATAGCATAAGCTAACAACGTAGATTCGACAACAATTGAAGAGGAGTCCAACTCGGAAATGTAGCTCATGAGTTTGGACTGCTCGACGAGCAGAACTTCGATCGATTCGGTAGAATCTAATAGCTGAATCGGATTCAAATTTTCCGGTGCATCTCCATCAATATCGATGACCACAAGGCATTGAGAATCGTCAGTCAATCCAGGATCCAAGAAACAGAGCTTTGATCTGAAAATGAGAAATTGCGAATCTTAAATTTTTTTTTATTTCGAACTCACTCCATCACAACCTTCTTACAAACATATCCCGTCTCTTCCTTTAGCTCACGAATCGCAGCTTGTTGGGCAGTCTCACCAGCATCGATCAATCCAGCTGGAAATTCCAGACACAACTTTCCACATGGAATACGGTACTGTTTGACGAGCACAATAAACAGTTTGTCTTGTTTTCGGACTCGAGCAATAATGGAAACTCCGTCAGCTGGAGCTTCCGCCGGCTTCGTGTTACGATGTACCGATTGCCAGACTCCTTGTTGTCCAGTTTGTGTTCGAAATCCAACTTGACGAGTTTGAATCCATTTCCCGTTCCAGACAACTTCTTGGTTGAATAACTGGAATGGGCAGTTGGCTGGCTTGTCTACGCTAGCTTCTTGACCATTGGATAGAGACGCCATCCTGAGCTGCTGAGCTGAAACTTTCAGTTTGAAAGATAAGAGGTGTTGGTTCAGCTGACATGAGGGCTTGTGTGTAACCTAATTAGAGTTCACGGAAAACTAACGTGATACCAGAAAGGAAAAAAGAGGGACGCGAGAAAGGGGGTACGGTCGATCGAACAAAGAAATCAATAATCAAAAGGTACTAGGTAATTGCTCTCTTTTTCTGGGTACTGCAGAAGAGAACCTTTTTGTGGTAAATGTGGGAGAGAGGCATCTTAATTAATAGAATGACCCTTCTTTTAACTTTCAGCCCATATATCTCATTCCCTACAAAAGATATCAAGAAGTGGTCAACTGACAAAATTTTAATTATATTATGAACAATATTTGGTCAATTGACAAGTTTTTGATACCTCTCACAGGAATTGAGATATATGGGCTCAAAGCTGGCGGTTTGGGAGGCACTCTACAAGAGTCGTTACGGTAAACCACCACAAGATTACTGTAGATTACTACCACAAGATTACTGTAGGAAACCACCACAAGATTACTGTAGGTTACAAGATTACATTAAACATATTTTTGAAAAATGGATGACACATCAAAAAATTATGATAGGCGTTTCCGGGAAAATGAAAAAGTCCCAGAGAGCAAAATGAGTCATTGATATAGACAACATGCATAATCCCCTATTAAACTAGTTTCAGAGTTTCTTCCTGATTCCCACAGGCTTTGAAGTTTATGAGCATGGCTACAACCTACTAGGACTGGAAGTCTATATATAGAACTGCAAACAAAAGAAAACCAAAAGTGCGCAGATCAAACAAAAATGGATTAGAGGCTTTAGAATCTCGTGAGGGAATAAATTGATATATTACTCTGGTACAAAAAATCGAAGCTATGAAAGAGAAAAACTTATGGGCGTGGCCAATGTGAGAAAAACTACAGTAACCTAAACATAAGTAGATAGCTTTTTACTCAAAGTTGGCCATTTTCTTGAAGAAGCTACCAGAAACAAAAATGAGAGATCGAATGGACGAAATTTTAGAAATAGCTGTGAGCTGTGAAATTAAAGGAGGCGAGACAACAAAAATTTCGGGGGACAGTTCGGGGGACGAAATCGCGCCGCGCTTATGTAGATCATCGGTCGCCAGGCGCCTTCGCGCCCCCGTAGCTCAGCCGGTAGCGGCGCTGTACCCCTGAGCTGCCTGTCATGAGTTCAACCCCTCATGGGGGTTCTCTATGCAAAATATCAGGAAAACTTTTTTTTGGTGTCTGGCCTCCTTTAAGCTCGTTTTTGTTTGATAAATACAAAAATTCATAACCGATGACTCCTGGAATATTATTCACCGATTGAAAAATTGTATGTTATTCATTGGTATGGTACGGTAACATTCTAAGAGCGTGTCAAACTACAATTTCTGTAGTTTGTGCTAAATACATTTTTTAAGCAGAAATCAACAAAACAAAATCTTGTAACAACTACATTGGCGTGGTTCTCTGCTCCTACCTGGCACCGTCGCCTCATGATTCTCCTATTTCTCTGACTTATCATCACCTCGAAATTCGGAAAATGTTAATCCGCGGAACACTCCTACACGTCCTTTCCTTACAACATACAATTTGAGTTTGAATTTCGTAAAAAACTCTAAACTAACGTCAAGAAGAAGCACGGTCCTTATCAGTTCTCTAAGGGCTTAACACTGTGTCCTCAGTTCGAGAGCTGATAATATAGGTGACAATTCCTGTTGTCGCTTAACCCATTTGTGACACCTCTCATAAGTCTTTTTCCGAAAACCCGGAAACATGGAGAGAGAGATCTATTCCAGTTTGTTTGTCCAGCTGGCAAGGTCTTCACACCTTTTTCGACCGCCCTTTCCAAACTCAAACTCTCAGAATAAATAAAAATTTTCAGTTTTGAACCTTTTCTCCACCATGAAGTTAGTCGTTCTCCTGTTCCTCCCTTTTCTGTGTTATGCACAAGAGCATATCAGCTATGATGGCACCACTGGTGTTATCTACTCGCCCAATTATCCCGGAGACTATCCTAACAGTGCCAACTACGTCTACACGATTACGGTACCCACTGGAAATTTCATTCATTTGACATTTTTCGATTTTCTCACCGAGGACTCGTATGATTACATGACCGTTGAGAAGTAAGTCTAACAATAAGTAAGGAGTTTTCAAAATTTCGGACGTAAAGAACGGAATCAAATTACTGTCCCACACTCCCACAGTTGACAATTTACTAAAAGAAAACTGAGCCTGAGGCAAATTCCAACTTTTCAGCTACACTCTTTCGGGAGACCAAACCGGTTTAGCTATCGACATCCAGGCATCACAGGCGACTCTGACATTCAAAAGTGACTTGACTACTACCTACCGTGGATTTGCTATTCAGTACGACCAGGTTCCAGTTGGAAGTGTTTTCATGCCATCCGACCAGTGTTCCAATTGGAGTTTGACTAGCACATACGGTATTGTCACATCTCCAAACTACCCAGAAAACTATCCGGATAATATGTCGTGTGGTGTCACGATTGAAGTGGAAAATGGGCATTTGTAAGTTTTTGGATCATTGATGTTTTTTATCTCGTTCCTGACCAGAAAACATATTTAATAGATGTTTACATTACCCTTCGCCCCTTAGGTTTCCTTAACTTTTCATGAGTGTAAACAAGATCGTAAACTCCAGTTGTTAGTATCAAAATCTTAAAAGATGCAAACAAACGGTCCAGAGAGTACTGTCAGTGACAGTCTGTCACCAAATGTGTGATCATGTAACATGACGAAACAATGATAATCCCTACTTTTTCCGGAAGAAAAAATAGCTCAAAGAATTCGGTTTGCAGAATCTCTCTACAATTCTTGGCGTTCGACACCGAGGACTCGTACGATATTGTCACTGTTTTCGATGCGGACAACCAAGACGATACCAAAATACTGGGAACGTGAGTGAGTAAGAATTGGAGTTTCACCTTGAAAATACTTTCAGATTCTCTGGTAAAGCGGTTCCACAGACGCTCACCTCCACAGGAAACCATATGCGCATTCAGTTTTCCTCGGACTTGGTTAAAAACTTTTCCGGATTCTCGGCACTTTATACGTCATTTGTGTCGAATGATTTCAAGAGAGGAGTTTTGCCACAGGTATTTAAAAGAATGATAACTTAATTACAACAATACATTCGACTTACCGTAAAAACTGTATTAGAAGGACCCCCATTAACAGAAGGATCCCTCTATTAGAAGGGCCCTCTAAGAGGGGCTGAAAAAATAGAAAGGCCGGCATCTAATACAGGTTTTACGGTAATTACCTACCTTGGTCCCTGGACGAGATATAAAAAAATTGGGATAATTAGAGTTAAAATGGTGATATGGGTATCTTTTATTTGACTAGAGAAAGCTGTAACTGGGGTATGGAATTTTTATTTGATGCAATTGTCAATAGAACGCTGATAATTCTGCGGACTTACCAGATTCGTGCAAACTAGATCTCAAATTTGGCGCGAATCCGGATGTTGTGAGTTCCTGATCAGTTTTCTTAGATCTGGCAATCTGAATACCATAAAACCAAAAGGGCTCTCACACTGTCAAGTCAGAACTTATTTTTTCTTGGCTCCTATCATAGCTGCTAGTCCTATGCTAGATATCAAAAATGTGTGACCTGACAAAACACTTCCAATATATTGATAAACAATTAATCAGTTGACAACTTTTTGATATCTTTAACAGAAACCAAAAAAGTTGAGTCAAAGTTTTAAGTTAAGAGCCCTTCTATTACAGGATCTACGGTATATACTTGAAAATGTAGCATTATCAATTTTCGAATGATACTTGTATCAAATCAGAGTTCCATACCACAGTTATAATCTTTTCCAGTGAAGTATTACAAAAACTTGAATATTGTTGATGAATTTTAGTGCCAGTTTTTTCGTATTATATTTTTTTAGGAATTACCGTTTTTCGTCTAATAGAAGCCCATCTCTATTTGAAGTCCACCTCTAATAGAAGCCCACATTCTGACGTGCTTAAAAACATGGAAGAGCACCCTCTAACAGAAGTACGGGCAGTTCAGTTAGTGCAGTTTGAACAGTTCAGTTCGTCTATTCGGTTATTGTAGACATTTTCTTTCTATTTCAGTAAAAATTCTGGTAATTTCAGTTTTTACTAGTTTCATGAAAAGGAGGTTGAAAAATAGAAGCCCATGGACTTCAATTGAAGGAAATACGGTAGCTACATTATTATTCAAAATTGTTTCTCCTCTTACCATTGAAAACTGTTAATTTCCAGACCTACACCACCGACTCTATTCTCAAGCGTGAGAATCAGAAGCTTCTCGAATGGCTCAAGAAAAAGGCCGGATCGAATACAGTTATTAACACAATTGGATCTAACTAGTAGACCAACCCTTCCTGTGATATTCAATAAATGCATGTTTTTTTCCCTTAATGTTTTTTGATAACATAATTTTGAAAACGGATAAAAAACGGGAATAAGTGAAAGTGATTGGGTGAAATCGAGGAAAAATTATGATGTTGCATAAAAAAGTGAGTGGGAGAGAAAAGAAAATGAAGTGATAAGAGAAAGTTGCAGGGGAGTGATTGCGGAAAGTGAAATTAGAGAAAAAGGGGGAAAATTCAAAAAACATGTTGAGAAGTTTTAACTGGAATAATTTGCAAGACAAAAACAGAAAAAAAACCTAATTTTGATACCAAGACTGAAGTTTGGATCTGTTTCTGAGTTTGGAGAGAGGTCTTAGAGTGCTTTGGTAAGCTTGTAAAAAGTTTAGATTAAAACAATTGGAGAAAATTTTTATTCGTTTTTTACAGCCCCATGTTGCACTGATAAAAACATCCCAATCTGTTAACACTCCAATAGGACGCCGCCAACTTGTCAACTTTGAGCTTGCATATCTTTGTTCCTGTGAAAGATAACAAAAAATGGTCCACTAAAAATGTTCATCATGATATCACAAATACTTTGTCAGTTTACCGCTTTTTGATATCTTTCACCGGAACAGATAAATTGGCTCAAAAAATGAAAGTTAGGGTGCCCTTCTATTACAGTTTTTACGGTTTTTTTTGTTTTGTACTCTACTGGATATCATAAAAATCTTGTTCTCCCATATCTTCCCTAAAAAAGGAAGCTTTTCGAATAATTGGTCTCTCATTCCCTTCGGTATATAATCAACACACAGATACCAGAAGAGGCAGCTTGTATTTTTTGGCATTTTCTGACGCGACAGATGTAGAAAAGACGCAAACTAATGGGCGGGAGGAAATTAGAAGAGAAGAAAAAGCTGTTGGTTGTATTGTGAGACTGAAATACCAGACCTATTGGCGACGATCGTTAGCGAGAAAACAAAAATGTGGACCTTCAATAGGCCGGCCACACCACCACCGGACCATCGAGGAAAAAGGGGTTGGATGGTTTCAAAAGCAGAAAACGAGGTGAGTCGAAAGTTTTCATATACTTTGATTACAAAAATTTTGAACTTTTGAGTATGATTCATTGATGTGAATTACCGTAAACACTCTAATAATGGCCCAGTCTAACTTTCAACTTTGAACCAATTTATCTCGTTTGCTGTGATAGATATCAAAAAAGGTCAACTGATAAAACATTTTTCATATTATGATAAACATTTTATCTGTTGACCACTTTTTGATATCATTAACAGGAAGTGAGATACAACGGCTCCAAGTTTGGGGGCATTCTATGAGAGTGGTTACAGTATGCCGATCATGAGCTATTATGAGCTCGTGAGGTCTTTTTTCGTTGAACCAAATCATGCGAAATCGTTCTTCCCCAAATTTTAATTTTCCAACTTCTAACATTCCTCCATTTCTTCTAATTTACTAAATACCTAATTCCTATTGGCTTCTCTGTAATACTAAAACTCGCTTTTTTTCGTCTGTCGCAACAGAAGCCAAGATGACTATCTCGAGATAGTAGTTCAGAAGTGAAATGAACTGGGAGAGAAACGAATTAAATGAAATCAAATGACTTCTTCTTTATTTAATCTGTATAGGTGTAAAATTGGATTTCTTACGATTCTTAAAAAGATCAAATTGAATAATTGAAGAGAACTTGTGTGTTCTGGAACCCAGTTGAGGTCCCTGCACATTTTCAAGGCTAAATTTCAAGCCAAAAATATTTCTGCTAATATTTAATAGGAATTTTCGGGCCCACCTGCAGGCAAGGGCCCTCTCCCATGCAAACGCGCTCTATGGCCACGCGATAGAGGGAGGAGGAATGAGAGAAACGAGAGGGAAAATTCCTATTTTTCGAAGTTTTTTTTTCTTTTTTCGTAATTTTTGTTTTTGAACAGATTTTTTCTTAAAGGGTGGCAAACTAGAAGGCAATCAATAATGGGAGATAACCGAAAAAGAAAGCACAATCATTGGAATCAAAAGTTGTTTCGATTTTCCTCTCTCATCAATTTAAAAAAAAAATTATTTACAGAGTAAAACAAAAATCAGTGGAAGCCGGTGTGACGGGTCTCTTTTTCTCATGCGAAGGGCACGAGAAACAAGCACTTCAAGAAGCCTACAGTATCATCGATGAGCTTCTCGAAGATCCCACAGTTTCCACGTTATCTGAATCAGCTCCAGATGCTTCAAAAGCTAATGCTTCGCTAGTTGCTCCAGAAGCGAAGCCAGATGACGGTGACGATTCTGATGAAGACATTGCCGACGCTTTGAAAAAAGCTTGTGACGATGAGCGGCAAGCGAAACCTGGAAAAGGTTTTGTAAAGAAAGAGAGAAGATGTATTCAAAGGCCGACAGGTGTTAAGAATTGCATTTTTGTCAGTGTGAAGAATGCGAAAATCGAGCTTTTGGCTGAGAAAATGGTGGATTTGACCCAGAAAACTCCTAGGTGTCGATACCTACAAAGAGTTTATCCAGTGGAACACACGATGCCAGTTGACTTATCGAAAATGAATGAAGTGTTAATGAAAGTGGGTTTTGAAATAGAGAAACCAAGTATATTTTTAAAATTTTAGGTAATTTCGGACACTTTAAAACCTGGTGAGGACGGTAAACTTCCAACTTATTCCGTGGAGTTCAAGGCAAGAAATAACGACTCAGTGGCCAGAAACTCCGTACTCCAAATGGTCGATGACGCCATTTCTGTGTTGGCTCCAACGGCTAGAGTCAATTTGAATCGTTCGTTTTTTTTTCCAGTTGATTCAGAATCAAAATTCACGTGCCAAATTCCAGACGCCGATGTCACCTTCTTTGTTCAAGTATCGCGTACAACAATCATGGTCGGAGTATGTCGGCAGTTCTATGACCGCCGAAAGTACAGCCTTCGTCCCGTAAAGGTTGCTGCGGATGTACCCGCCGTCGCCGAATAAAACATTTCTCTACGCTTTCTCCCTTCCTTTTGATGAGCGCCTCATTGGCTCAGTGGCAGAGCGTCTGTCTAGTAAACAGAAGGTCGCTGGTTCGATTCCAGCATGAGGCACAGAACTTTTTTATTATTTGTTTTTCATGTTTGTTTGACTCGCTCCTGTTAATTTTATCATTCCTTTTATTTTTTGTTTCAATGTTCTCATAAAGTTTCCATGTTTCCACAACCCATTCAACAGTGTATCACTTTTCCTGAACACTCTCGCGACCCTTGTTCGTTCCTCGTTCCATGCTGCGCATGATCAATGGCCAAGTGAAAAAAAGAGTCAAACCCCTACCCCGAAAAATCCAGCTCATTTCTTTTCTAATTTTGACAGTACCCTCTCGAAAGTTCGCACTACTTCTCACACGGCTTGTGCGTGTGAGTTGTCAAACAAACCGAGTAGTTACGGGTGCGCGGGAGCACACTCGGCAGAACTCATTCTGGGGGGAAAATAAGGAGAGTTCATTCTGAAATTTTTTTACTTATGCTTCCAATTTTTTGGAATATGTTCCTAACTTTTGCTGTGTGCAATGTGTTATTCGAAGTTTAGGAATTTGAGAAAGTTTCAAACAATTTTGTTTTCATAACCGAAATACTCCTTTCGGTATGTTTATGAGTCGGCTGGGCTTCAACCGATAGTTTCACAATTTTCAGAACAACATTGTTAATTTTTTTCGTTGAAGTTCTATTAGATCGCAATAGCGAACTACTGTGTTCTTTTGAACCTTTTTACATATGACTTTCTTATTTTTTCAATTATTTTTCGACGATTTTCATCGCCTTTCTCGATGTAAATGGAAAAAAGTGTATTAAAATAACAAAAATCATTGAGAAAACGATGAAAATCGTCGAAAAAATGAGAAAATTTAAAAAAAAAACTTTAAAATAGGCTCAAAGAATATGGTAGTTCGCTCTTGCGACTTTGATGGAAATTTAACGAAATATCCGCTTTCATAATTTTTCTCAGACAACGATACTACAAAAATGAAAGCAATTTTTGTAAAACAATTACCAGGCTTTGCAATTTTATAACTGAAATCATTTACCGAAGGGCTCCCCACACTCTCAAGTTCGCGCTCAATAATCTCAATTCCTATGCAACATATCAAAAATGTGTCAACTAACAAAGTACTTCTCATATCATTATCAACAATTTATCAGTGAACAACTTTTCAATATCTTCGACAGGAACCGAGCTAAATTGGCTCAAAGCTAAACGTTAGGGGGGCCCCTTCTATTACATGTTTTACGGTATCCTAGTTTTTGAACAGAATACTAAAAATATTTAAAAAGTCACCTGAGTCACTACTATACATTTTCTACTCTCCGTCATATCTGATTTTCGTCAAATTCGAAACATTTTTAGAAGGAATTTTTTTCGAATATGAATCTAAACGCAGATAGAAAAGAAACGAATAAGCTAGAAAAGAGCGAAAATTGATGATACACTACGGCAGACATTTTTTCTTTATGATTTGCGTCTTCTTCTTGTTTTCATAGCCTACTTCTTCCTCATCGTTTTTTTTCTTTTTCTCCGTCTTCCCCTATCATCATCTCCTTCTTTTTTGCATTTCTCCATCTCCTACTGGCTAGACCACTAGCACCTAGTATTTACGTAGTGTGTATGTTGGTTTTCCAGAACGATATATACTGGTTTTATATTTCTATATTTTTCTTATCTCTGTGGTTTTTCGATATATCAAAATCCGTTACCAATTTTTCCTACCGTACTTCCTCTAACAGCAGCCCATCCAAACCGTCAACTATGAGCTCATTTATCTCGATTCCTGTGATGGATATGAAGAAGTGGTCAACTGTCAAAATGTTAATCATGATATCCCAGATATTTTGTTAGTTAACCACTTTTTGGTATCTCTCATAGGAACCGAGATAATGGAGCTCAAAGTTGACGGATAGGGTTGGCTTCTGTTAGAGTAAATACGATAAATACAGTAATCTTACTCTTTGTAGGATTTTCATGAAATATAGATTTCAAAGGCTAGCAAAGAACATCTACCCTCCCTCCCTTCTGTCTCTTCACATAACCCTATATTTAATGTGATGATCACAAGGTCTAGGTTCTCCATGGAAACCAATACTTGTCTCTGGCTACTAGCCCGTTTCTCTTAAAACATTTTGTTCTCTACTGACAAGCAACAAAGAAAAAAAAAATCAAGAGCCAGTTTCATGTCAAACTCAAGTTTGGGGGCCCAAAACAAACAAATCTTCTCACCCCATCGTGTCGTTGTCTTTAAGAAAGAAAAAAAGAGACGACCGCTTCCTCACAGCTTTCATTTATTATTCGTATTTCTTCAGGCAAGTGACAAGCACGACACTTTTGAAGTTTTTTCGACAAAATTTTGAAAGTTGGGAACAGATTTATTATCTCAACTGAAATTTCAAAAAAAGTTTAGAATGACTGAGAAGAAATTATCATCCCACTTCTCACCATGTATTGTGCTGATTGTTTGAGTTTTTGTTACTGATTGAGTTTGTGTTACAGTTACTAGATAGAAAAAGAAAGAGTCTTATTAAATTAAATTCATTCAAGCTCCATCCTTCCTGGACTGTAAACAAGTTACCGTAAACACTCCAATACGACGCCCCCCCCCGGTCAACTTTGAGCTCATATATTTAAGTTCTTGTAAAAGATATAAGAAAGTGGGCAACTGACAAAATGTTTATCAAATCATCAAAATTAATTTGTCATTCTACCACTTTTCGATATCTTCCACAGGAACCGAGATAAATTGACTCACAGCTAACCATAAACTCACAGCTAACCATAAAATTGACTCACAGCTAACCACTTGTAACGGGCCG